GGGTAAATATCTGTCCAGTTCATCAAATACAGGAGGCGTGCACAAACCGTAGGCCTAAGGATCTTGTCCTCAGAGCAATCTGCTACACTAGTAGGCATAAGTAAAGCAAATGCATTACATGTTCTTCCCATAATTTTCTATCATACAGTAACTGAAAATTTTATTTATTTACTTATCTATTTTGTACTTTAGGGAAAGGGTCTACAGGGTGTTCAGGGTCTCACTACTAAATTGGACTCGTAGTGATTTGCCTGTTTACAGCCTCCCAAGAGCTGAGATTACAGGGGCACATCACCACTCCCAGTCTCAATTGCCATATCGGCATTCCCCAGGAGTGGGGCCAACACAGCAGGTCCAGGGATCGAGCCCCTGGCCCCTGTGCCTGCTTGTAGGTGCTTTAATCTGCTGAGCTATTTGACTGGCCCTACAGTGACTGCAGATTTTAAAAATGTGAAAGGCACAGACTTTTCTTTTGTCACTACTCCCTAGAAACATAGTATGGCAACTATTTACCTAACATTTGCATTGTATTGTACGTCATGAGTGACCTAGAAATGATTTAAAGCACATGGGAGGATTGCAAAGGTCATATGCAATGATGTTTTATATAAACATTTGACTATCCACAGATGTGGCATCCACAAGGAGTCCTAGGACCAACCTGGTACAGAAGGACTACACTTATCAGTGTTTTCAGTTCTGTTTTTGCAGGTGAGGAAGTGGGCTGGCTGGTGGTGGTGGCAGGCACAGGTGGAAGGAGCCCAGCCCTACCCCAGACTGGCTATCACCACAACAGTCAGAGCTGCCACCGGTGGAGGGCAGGGCAATGAGCCGGGCTTAGCACAACAAGTTTCATGTAGAAGATACATTGAACCCTCAGCACTCTAAGGTTGCAATTATATCCTCATTTTAGAGATGAGAGATTCTCCCATCAGAGAAACTAAGTTACTTAACAAGGTTGCAACAGGGGTTCAAACATCAACTTTTCTGACTTTTTTTTTTTAATTGAATCACTTACTAGGGAAATACCATTAGTGCACATGCCTGAATGTTATACCTAATTAAAGTATAATCCTTTTTTTATTTTTCCAGTCTTTTATTTATTTATTTACTTATTTAATACAGGGACTCACCACACAGCTTGGACTTAGACTGATTCTCCTATCTCAGCCTCCCCAGCAGTGGGATTACAGGCGTGTTTCATCATGCCCAGTTTCAGTGGCCAGCTTGGCTAAGGGGCTGACCCAGGACCTTTCACGTGTCAGGCAGGCATTTAGACCACCGAGTTATCTCCCCAGCCCTACAGTGTAATCCTAATATCATGGGTATCGACCAATATACTCAGCACATAACACTATGTATTATACCTGTTAGACTGAGACAGTGTGTGTCAATGTATTGTTGAGCATTATCTTTGTAGACTACAATTGTTTGCAGTTGGCTCAGCATTGATTTTAGCTGCCAGTGTTTTACGCCCTAGACTCTTGTGAATATAGCAACTGAAATAGCTACAGTTAGCTGGTATTAAAAGTAAAGTCATAACCAGTTGTCATGGGATAGAGATCTGAGTTGGCCGGCAACACATTATTCTAAATATAAAAATATATGCTGGTCAATGAATCTCCTTCAGAGCTAGAAATGCAACAGACTACCTTGGCCAGGCCATATGACTCCATGCATCATTAATGATCCAGTTCTAAACCTCATTCAGTTGATTTTCTGCTGACAATATTATAGACTGGCTTTCAAACATTTTTAATACGGCCACTTTCTCTTTACATTCTATCTTTTCAGTTGGATAGACATTCCCTCATTGCAAAGCGCAACCACTAACTCCAGGGTTGATGAATCAGAAGCAGTGTGTGCCTTAGTGATTTCCCACAGCTGAGATACAATACCTGATGCCCAAATGGGAAGGAAGACAGCTGTATTTGGATGACAGCCTCAGTCCATGGTCAGCAGGCCCCAAGACGAAGCAGGCTGCCACAGTGGCAGGGCAGTAGGAACGTTGCTCAATTCCTGGTTCCCAGGAAGCAGAGACGTGAGGGAGGGGCCATGGAGAAGAATGCACTCTTCAGGTCTTGCCCATGGAAACCCAAATGCACTGAGGCCTCACCTCCTCATGGCAAATTGGCTAAGAACTCACAAGTGGACTAATCCTCTAATGAGCAAAGCACCCTCCAACCACCTTCCAGACACAGGAGGCTGTAGGGAGACGATAGATCTAAACGCAACAGCGAGGAAGATGGACCATTTCAATAAAGTCTAATATCTACCTACAAGAGCTGGGAAAGAGACTATCAAGGACTCATCCTCTCCTGGATGAGTCATTTTAGAGCATGACGCTTCCTAGATGGAAAGAAGATGGGAGTACCTGACATAGTACCATCATCTTCACTCTGAAATATGTAAAATTAAAGGGGCTGCTATCCTGCACTACCAGGGAGCCCTGCATTACAGAGAGAAGTAGAGCTGTAATGGACAACAAACACCCAAGCTCACAGTCCAAACACAACGATGAGCAACGATCCAGACACAAAGGCAAGAGTCGAATAAATGCTGATGACAAGCAGCCACATGCTGCTGGAATAAATCAGTCACTTGCGCCATCGAGAAAGGAAACTGATTTTTGAAAGCCATTAACAGACTACTGTCCTACATCACACTTTGCTGGCTATGAATGGATTGTTTAAGGAAGCTCTCTCTCCTGCTTCTTCTGGGATGCACGTCAGAGTGCATCCTGCAGTCTAGCTGTGTTATCTAGCTGTGTCCTGGGAACTGCATTTAATGACTGCTTCTGCAATAATACCTATCTTGGCATACGCATCACACATGAGCTCATGCTTTATCTTTCATGCACACCTTTGTATTCAGTTTGAAGTCGGTGAGCCTTCCCAGGAGTTTGTCATCAGTTGAAAGTTGGAGCCGTGGAAAAGAACAAAGAGTAACAACCATAACTTCAAAGGACAAACTTTTCTGGCCAACTAAAAGTTGGAAGCGTCACTGCCATATATTAAACATAGAATGACTGAGGTGGCAAATTGTATTTCCAACTCCTGTGTTGTCTTCTTCTAGCTCTGATCTTTTGAATATTGCCTTTATTCTTCCTCTTTGAGATTTGTTCTTTCAGGTAAAAAACACTGAATTTGTTGGACTGACATGTAAATCAAATACTTGTCCCAATTCAAGACGTTTCTCCACATAGCAGTATTATCACTATAAGATGCAGTGAGCAAAGCACTTGGCAAGCAATGTCATCTTCCTGCAAAAACGCAAATCCCAGTTGCCTCCGGCAGTGGTGTACAGAGAATGCCACAGAGAAAAATGGAGCAGATCACTGGAAGGCGCATAGAG